ACCTGTTTCCCAAATAATACAAGGATGCTGGAAAACTTTAACTCCAATCATCACCCCATCCTTCCCACTTCCAAATTATGATTTTGTTGTCTAGGATATGAGTTCTATCTTGCTTTAGTCTTTTAACCACACAAATTATTATTATTACTTTGTTACTTTTTTAGTTTTAACCACTTATTTACCAATTTCTTTGCTTATTGTTCCTTTTTCTATCAGGGAGTATGTTCTGTTGGTAGTAAACTCCAGATTTTTTTGTCTGAAAATGTCTTGAATCAGATAGCCAGGTTCAAATCCTGACTCTACTTTTCTTAGTCATGTGACCCTAGATAAGTCCCTTAACCTCTGGGGTTTTTGGTTTACTAATTTGTGAAACTGAGTTTCATCCTTTCCTGGGAGAGACAAAGCTGGGAAGGAAGATGTAATAAGCAGCTCCAGAGATGAATTCTCTGGAAGGGTGCCAAGATCCAGAACACAACAAAACAAACACTACAATCACTTGCCTGAGTGTCTGGTACTCTCGTAGGGAAGACAAGATTAACACACAATGAAAAGAAATTAATACTATTCTTGTGTACTTGAGGGTTAAGTGTATGGTTCTTTCAAGACCAGTAACATGGTTGGCTCCTAGGAGCTTACAAAGGAGTCTTCACAGAAGACAGTGCTTACCTGATGTCAGCAGCTTATCAGCTGCTCAACAATCTAGTCTTGATGGAAAAATCCAACATAAACACTTCAGAGCTTCTAAAAGAAAAAGAAAAAAATTTAAAAAAAAAAAGGAAGGCTTTCAAAAGAGTAGCCAAGTAAGTATTCATTAAACACCTGGTATATATAGGACCAAACACTATAAAATACTAAAGACAATAATGCTTCTGCCATCAATGAACTTATGAGTTGGGAAGTTAGACTTATGAAATGAAAGTTAACAAAGAAGTACAAAAGAGAGAAAGACAACTACAGAGTACAATACTACTATATAGGAAGGTGCTAATTTGATACAAATAATGTATGTGATAGAATTCAATATAGGTTGTGTATTGTTTTCTAATTCCTCTTAAGTTGTGTTGAGATCTGCAGATTGAACATGATTAAAAATCAATTGTAATTATCCTTTTCCCTCTAAGGAATTCCAGAGCCAAAGAGTGTCAAAGATTTGTGCAGAACAGCTAAAATAACCATTATTCTAAATTATGCTACCGTTCTTTTGTATACTGACTAAATCTAAAATAACTTGCAAATATGTTGAGCCTTAGGAAAATATATAAATTTGTAAGGTAGCTAACTTTTTAATGCATAGCTATTAGTTTACATGTACTAATTTTCTTTCTCAGACATTATCACATTTCATGTTCCCTAAATGCTAAGATGTTGGTTTTATAGATTTCTATCCTACAGAGAAATAAATACATATTTAAACCACTTGATCCAAGGTTTTCATTTGTAGAGTAATACACATTGTTCTAAAACGATCTCATATTTTTTAATTAATGGAAACGAATTCATTTCAGTTAGAATAATTTTTTGATCTACTAAAACTAAACAGGAAAACACCATTAAAAGTTGTATATAACAGCTTCTAAATATCCACTCATGTTTCTTTTTTTTGAGAGCACGCACATGCCCAAGGGTGGAGAAGAGCAGCAGAGAGGGAAAGAGAAAGAACCTTCCGTGGCCTCCACAACCAATCATGTTTCTGTTCTAATGCTAGGATGGACCTGTATGTATGTATGATTTTATGGTTAATATACACTTACAGTATCAGGCGATTTTTGGTTCCCAGAGACCAAACAAAGAAAAATACATTTTTGGAATATGTAATACAGACCATTCCTCTATTCAAAAGTACACTGGGGGAAAAAAGAACGAATAGGTGATAAGGATCATTGACGGCTGGGAACAGATTCAAGATAATATTTAAATGGTCAAGGAAACTGAGTTACTATCTCACAAATTGTGATTTACACGAGTCTCATACTGGCAAGCCTGAACTTTCAAACATTTGGTTTTGATATAAAACCCAGCTTGTGTCTATTATTCATGTATACTCCCAAACCGCCTCTTTCATACTATAGCCAACCTTTCATGTATCAGCAGATGACTATTAACTCCAATCTATGGCTACCAGGAATAGGCCTGCCTCTGCCAAGGTGAGTTTTTGAGGGAGCATGTGGGTGGAAATATAATTTCCCACGCTGCCCTGCTCACACTCCCAATGTTGGCCTTGTTGCCACTGCCAACCCTGCCCCCTCTCAGCAAAGCAAAGGACTTTGAGGAGTTCTAGGACCGAAGGCCTAGGGCTTGCTTGTCTTTTCCAAATTGGCATCTCTTGAGGAGCACAACCAGTACCTTGATAATCCCCATCTGGAGAAAAGATCTGGTTAGAGACGAGTGGGATGGGAAGAAGCAACAGTAAGTGGGTAGGAGTGGCTTCCCCATTCAGCTCCAGCTGTGGGTTCAAGGCAGAATGACTATTTCCCTCTCGCCTAGAGCTTTAGCCACATTCCCACTAAGGTAGCATAGCTTTGGCCTGGGTACACTGAAAAAAATAAAAAGGTACTACCTGGTGACACCTTAGAGTACCTCACTATCTTCACTGTATGGCTTTTGTGGGTGTCGGTTCTAAGAACAGTCTTGTTAATATATTACCTTAAAAATTTTTACAAGTCGCAGTTTGGAGACTGTGCTCAAGAGATCAACTATCTAACTTGGGGTTAAAAGGGTCCCCTAAGGCAAGAAATGCCAGAGTCAAGTTTGTTTCAGGGTCACTAAAGGCTGCCCTAGGGTACCCTGGGATGGGATGGTCTGGGTCAACAGGAAGCAGTAATGGCAGGAACAATTAGGAAGGTTTTTATTTTCAGCACTCTAGGAATTAATACCTCTTATGTTTTGTCTTAAGACTTCTGACATTTTTCCCTCAAACACATTTGCAGAAGGCTTTATGTAACAAAGTAGGAGACAGTCACTATCTAATAATGCTAAAGACAAAATTATTCCACGGCTTTGATCAAGAGGCCAGGCCCAAGAATATGTTCTGAGGATGCATTCTCTTTGAATTTAAAATATGTGTGCAAAAACCCTGGTACAATAACAGATGAGGGCATTTAACAGTATTCAATCTTCCAACAATCTTGCATGAAAAGTAACCAGGCCCAGTGTCATATACTGGAAAGTGGCAGGGCTGGTATCTGATGCAAAGCAGAGTCAGCTCTTAACCACTGCATTGATATAAAAGGTCTGATTAACTTTTGACATTTACTGGAAGTTAGAGCTTTACAAATATTCTCTCCTTTAATCCTTGCAACAGTGACAGACCTGTCCACATTAACATTCTCATCTTACAATGAGAAAAAAAAGCACAGAGAAATTATGTAACATTCATGGTCTGTAAAGAAGTGGTCATGAGAGACTTGAACCTAGGGAATCAGATGGGCCCTGCACCTGGATTCTATGCGTAAAGGCCACAGAAAAAAATGCTAACATAATCCCTAAGTGAGAAATTATAAAACGCTGGTAGAGACTGCCGGCATATGCATATGTGCATGCACACACACTTACAGGATATAAAAAAGAGCTGGTAAAAGGTGTGTGTTCACTAAGATCACATTTCAGTAATTAGGACACACACTGTCTGGGTTTAGGCTGCTGTAACAGAATACCATACAGACTGGGTGGCTATAAACAACCGACATTTATTTCTGACAGTTCTGGAGGCTAGAAATCCCAGAGCAGGGCGCAGGCATGGCTGAACTCTGGTGGGAGAACTCTCCGAGGTTGTAGCCTCCCGCTGTTTTCTCCTGGTTATCTTCCCTCACGAGGCAGACAGGAAGAGGTCAATGGGGTCTCTTTTATAAGGGCACTAATCCCATTCAGGAGGGCTCCACCCTTATGACTTAATCACCCTAAGACCCCACCTCCTAAAACCCGGGAGGTTAGGATTTTTAACGTAGACTGGGCGGGTGGGAGGCACACGGTCAGTCCGCGACACAGACTCCCAAACCACTACTTGCTGTTAAATTCCTATTTGAAATGATAGCGACCCACCCCACCCCTACCCCGCCGAAGCTGGTCGATCGTATGAACTCCCAATTTCCAAAATGATCAACTGCCATAAACTCTTCAATGTCCTAAACGTTTAGCTAAAGGCTTTGTGCATTCTTGTTTCTCCTCCCCAAAATAAAAACCGTAGCCCTTTCAAGCTGTCCTGTTTACTCTCACCTCGTCATTTTCGCAGGAAAGTGATCAACAGCCTTGGACCAGGACGTCTGTTCCGAGGCCTTAAGAGCCCCGCGGAAGACGGGCGCTGCGGCCTTGCAGAGTTGGGGTGCGGGCAGAAGACCCAGAAGGAGGCGGGGAGGTGGGGAGGGGGCGTCCCGGGAGCTCGGCCTCCGGGCGAATCCCGGGCCTGGCTCCGTTTCCGTACCTGCTGAGGTGGGGGAGATGAAGAGGCAAGGGGGAGCGAAAGCGAGGAGGAGAAATAAAGAGAAGGGCGAGAGGCTCGGGAGGCGCGGCGACCGCGGTACCTCAGAGCTCGGAGGCCCGGGAGGCGGGCCCTTGACGCCGCTGCGGTGGGCCCGCTGCTCCGGACAGGCAGGTCTTCCCAGGCGGCGGGGCAGGAAGGGTAGACTCCCGGCGGGCTCGGGCCGTTGCCAGCCAACAGCCCGGGGCTGGGCCGGGTCACGCCTCAGCCCCTCGCCGCCTCGGTGGGCCCGAGGGAGGGGTCGCAGCGGCTTCACCGCTCGGGGTCCGGCGCTTATTGTTCCGGGAAGCCGCGGGCAGGATCTGGCCCTCCGACCCGCCCCCGCCTGGGGTCGCCGGGCAGCTGCCGTAGCGCCGACTGGCGGCTGACGCGCGGCCCGTGCGTGTCCCTTTAAGGGGCCGGGCCTGAGCGGCGGAGGGGCTGGCGGGGTGCGCGTCGCTCCCCGTGTGAGTGTGTGGGGGAGAGAGCGGCGGGCGGGCGCTGGAGGGAGGGAACGAGCGAGCAAGCGACGCGGGCCGCCCCTGCCGCCGCCGCCGCCGCGGTCGGACCAGCGGCCTCCTCCCCTCCCCTCCCCTCCCGCGCGTCGCCCTGCCGCGGGGAGGGGGCTCGCGTCGCCGTTTCCAGCCGCTCCTGATGAAGCAGCTGCCGCCGCAGCCACCTCCGAAGATGGGGGATTTCTACGACCCCGAGCACCCGACCCCTGAGTAAGTATCTGCTCCGCGGCCCGCCGCGGCCGCCCTCCGCCAGAGCCCCGAGGGCGGCGCGTCCTGACGGGCGGCGGCGCGGGCCGGCGCGAGGAGTAACGGGCCCGCGGTGGACTCGCGCGGTCGGCGTGGGGAGCAGGCCCGCGCCGCCGCAGCCGCCGCTTCTCGCCCGGGCCGCGGCGGGTCGGCGGTTGGGCCCGGCGTTGGCGCGGCTGCTCGCGTCGCAGCGGCGGTTGGGCCGGGCCGGTGGGGGAGGGGCGGCCACGGCCTCCGCCGCCGCCGCCGTGTCCGCACCGACCCGGCCGGCCCGAGGCTCGGTGGACTCCTCAGGCTCCTCGCGGTGCGCGCAGGCCGCGCCGCAGGCAAAGGGGCCGAGACGGAGGAGCTGCCGGTGTCGGAGTCAGCGAGAGGGCACCGGCGAGGGTAGGCCGCGAATCCCCGGGCTCGGGTGGAAGCCCGGCCCGTCGCCCGGCCTGTCGCCCGGCCTCCCGGCGACGGCGGCTGGGACCGGAAGGGCCTAGCTTGCCTCCCTCGGCTTGGGGCCGCGGAGGCTCCGGGGCTGCGCTCTCAGGTTTGATTTTTTTCCCTCCTGGAACTCGATCCTGGCCTCGCAGTGCTTCCGGCTTCAGCTTCTGCACCTCTGGCACATCGGTTTTGTAATGGTGGCGAGGTTTGTGTGGCCCCGATGTTGAGGTGACACCGGGTTTGTTTTTCTGCCCGAAAATGAAAGCCTTCGGAGGGGCAGACGTTCTCTTCCAGATTGTGGGATTTGCACACTTTCGGACACTACTTCCTCGATAACAGGACCCTTTTACCCTAAATGGATGACTTTCTACTTCTCATAAAGACTTACTTAAAAAACCGAGGATCGTTTGAGGATTCTCTGAAGAGACAGCAGTCTAGAAACTGAAATACAGTTTTGCCCGATAGTATTTTTTCAGAGTTGGACATTTTTTTTTTTTTTTTTTTAATTTCTGGGGAGGGCTGTATCTGCTACTGTATCTGATACCTCGGAGAGCTTCCACTCGAGAGCCTGGATTCACTTCTTTCCTTACGCCCTCACAAGACTATTGTTTTAAAAAGCTATCTGAAACTCCATTTGCTGGTGTTGGTTAAAGTCTAGACCTACGAATATACGACTCATTTAAAACTTAACGGTTGGTAGGGATTTCAGATGAAACTGTCACTTTTATGTGCAGAAGGATTCCAAGAGATTTGCTCTTTTGACACATTTTATTAGCTCAGCTATCTTTTTTTTTTTTTAACCCTTTGCTAAAGCTTTTCCACTTGGTCCAGTAATGTCTGGATCTTACTTGGTAGTTCTTAGATTCATTTGCAACACAGAAGGATGTTATTGGGGTATTGATGGTGGTTTCTGCACACAAAGAGAAATAATTATACTACCTTTCTAGACAAACCCAGCTTTTATTTTTGATAGTAAGTTGTCTCAACATGGCTTTATCCTTTCTCGGGTTCTTTGGTTTTAGGTTAACATTACCTCAATTAGATTGTTTTAATTTACTGCACCATCGTCAGTCTGGTTACAAAGCTCATGTTGTATATAGGCTTTTGGTATGAGACTTGGAGAACCTCAAACCATTCTGTATCATGATCCAATAAACACTTATTGAACAGTTGTCCTGTACAAAACAACATGCTAGCCCCTGATTGGACTAAGTGCCTGCTTACGTTTCTTTTTATCAGTTTATGTGGTGAAGTCCAGAAGCCTTAAGGATCACATCCTTACACTTCTTGGGGAAAATATAATTTTTCATAATGTGGGAAAATGGACTCAAGTGCATCTTTGATGGACCTGAGTGGGGAGGAATCAAGAATGTTTATTGTTTGACACAGGTCTTGGAGTTATTTCCATTGCTTTTATGTCGCCACCGCTTTGCATTTTTAAGTGACTAAGTTCCTAAGTGTGTGTGTGTGTGTGTGTGTGTGTGTGTGTGTGTGTATGTGTATTAACCTGCATGGGTATAAAAAGAATTATAACACTTTTTCTGTTATAATACTGTAAGAACTAGAAGGGATCTTAGTAGGCATCCTGAACAACATCACCTGTTTGTCAGATGCAGGAACTGAAACCCAGAGAAATGAAGTGACAAAAGGCCCTCTGAGGTAGTATGTAGAAGCTAGTCAGAAGGGGGAAAAGCAGTACAGTGTAGGGTTAAAGAACTTGGATTTCAGAGTCAGACATCCCTGGGTTTGAACACTAGTTGAACCTTGGACAAGTGTCTCCATCTCTCTAAGCTTGGGTTTTCCCATCTTCAAAATAGGGATTGTGATGGTAGCAACCTCATAGGGCTTTGGGGAGGACTGGATGAGAAAGAAGAATGTATGAAAAGCCCTTGGCACAGAGTGTGGCATGTATAAATGCTTCTAGCTGGGGTCATCAGGGAAAACTTAAGAGGCAGGATTTAAAGTCAAGCTTGGAAAGATTAGGTGGACTTGAGGGGGTGATGTGCCCGGGGGAAGGAATGACCAAGTGCCCCTTTTAGACTTTAGGTAATTCGGAATGGTTCTTAGACACGTGAAAAAATTGAGGCAGGAAACATAAATTCAGTTTGATTGAAGTAACTGTTGGAACCTGATGTTCTGTGTTTGTCTTGCACTCTTTAATCAGTCACAGCTGTGAGACCTGGCCTTTTTTCCTGTGGCATATAGGATTGTGTTTCAGGTGAAAATGGCTGTAATCACCTGAGTATCTGTGCATTAGGTGTCTGCTGTTGGGGCCAGGTGTTGAGGACACTGCAAATTAGATCCAGTTAAAGTCTTAAAGGAACTCTTCTAATAAGAGAGGCAAGTACTTAACAGCTGTAGAAGTGCTGTTCTTTGAACATACGCATGTCTATTTTGTGCCAAACATAGGTGCACTAGAGGTGAGTGTTGTACAAAACAGAATTTTGCCCTTGTGGGAACCCCTCCTAGTGATGGGTAGTAATGAGTAATACAGAATAGTCAAAGGAAAGTGCTTTGAAAAATGGAGCAGGGTAAGGGGGAAATACAGAATTTCTGGGGAAGATGTGACTTTTTTTTTTTTTTTAAGATTTTATTTATTTATTTGATAGAGCGAGATCACAAGTAGGCAGAGAGGCAGGCAGAGAGAGAGAGGAGGAAGCAGGCTCCCTGCCAAGCAGAGAGCCTGATGCGGGACTCGATCCCAGGACCCGGAGATCATGACCTGAGCCGAAGGCAGAGGCTCAACCCACTGAGCCACCCAGGCGCCCGAGATGTGACATTTTAAAATAAGGTAGACTGGGTGTACCTTCTTGAGAATGATACTTAGGCAAAGACTCAAAAGGGGGGGGGAGTTAACCTCATTGGTACCTGGGGTGAAAGCATTCCAGGTAGAGGGAATAGTTCCAAGGTGCTAAGGCAGACCTGGTGAATTCTGTCTGGTATGGCTAAAACGGAATGAACGAAAAAGAGCAATAAATCGTAATTTGGGTCAGGGTGGGATGCAGATTTCACACACGACTTTGTCCAGAGTTTTCAACAAAGAAGTGACAGGCTCTGCTTTCAGCTTCAGAAGGATCACCCCCTTTGCAGGGGAGAACAGAAGAGGCAGGGAGACTTGTAATGAAGTTAGCAATCTGGAAGAGAGCTGCTAGTGACTTGTAAAAGTGGTAACCAGGAGATGGTGAGAAATGATTGGATTCTGGGTATACATTGAATAATGAACAAAATGATTTGTTGATCAGATGTGGCATGTGAGAGAGGAGCCAAGAATGATTCCAAGGTTTTTTGGCTGAGTAGTTAGAAAGATGGAATTGCCATCAACCAAGGTAGCAGGTATGATTGTGACAAGAACAAGTTTGGGAAATAGGAGTTCAGTTTTAGACATGGTTAAGTTTGAAATGCCTGTTAGACATTGGGGTTGAATTGATGGTCCCCTAGAGTTCAGGGGAAAGGTCTGGACTACTAGAGATACATTTTGTGATCATCAACCTAGTATTAGAACCACAGCACTGGAAGAGATCACCAAGGGAGCCTGAGAAGAAAGAGATAAGGACCCGGGAGTAATCCCTTTAAATTGCAGTATTAAGAGGCTTTTTTTTATAGTGTGCAATGGAGGGGGGGGATCTTAACTTGGATGGCATCCTTAAACTTGGGAAAATTACCTCTTCACTAACCTCTAACTAGAAGTTAGCATTTCTTTTAATTGCCAATATAAATAGCAAACTACAGGACTACCAACAGTACTTGTGATTTTACTATTAGTACAAGTAAAATATTTTTAATAATATGCTGTGGTTGTAGATACCTCAAAATATTAATGTTTATTATTACATCAAAACATTGATGTAAGCATTACATTATGTACATCATTACATCTCTACATTATAGTAGAGAAGAGATCTACCACTACATTAAGAAGCGTATGTATTACTGTACCACACATTTGGGGTCTTTGTCCTCAACATAATTGGTCTCATTTGTAATCCTTGTATTTTATTTTATGCATTTAAAAATATTGAGCTGAGAAGAAATCCACAGGCTTCATCAGACTGCCAAAATTTTTTTGTCCAAAGCACACAAAAAAAGTTAAACCCTGGGCTTTGGAGCTAGGTTTTAGAATCTCACCTCTTTTTTTACTTAATAGCTTTATGAACCTTAGCAGGTTTCATAATTACTCTGTGCTTTGGTGTCATTATAAAGTGGGGATCATAATAGTATTTTCTGCAAAGGGTTTTATGAGAATTTAAGAATTAGGATAGTGTTAGCTCTTTTATTATTAGTACTGGATGGAAAGATGCAGCTAGAAAGAAGAGTACAAGGCATCATGATAAGAAAAGCATGGTGAATTTGGCCAAAATAAAGTTTATTAACTGGGAAAAAATATTTCTACGTGTTCTAATAAAGTATAAAGCAGTGAGATTGGTCAAGTTCTCATAGAATTCTTGTAATTCACCTTAGTTAACAGTGGGAATGGAGATGCCATAGGAAGCCAACTAAGAGGAAATACCACTGGGAGGGTTTCCTGGCGAGAAAGC